CCTGAGAAGACGTGTGACGACTATTTTATATTAATAAAAAACAATCTCGGCTCAAATTTCGATATCAAAAAAACATCCAAGCAGTTATCTTTTCTCTACGGAATTACTAGATCTTAGAATAGAAGCAGGGTTTTATTACCCCTCATTATAGGTAAATAAAAATTAAGTGTGTTGTGTACAGTAAAAATACACGTAACGCACTCTATTGCTGGAAGGCTATTCGTATTAATCGACTTAGAAGTTTTTGAATACTTTCACAGTATATTAGCACCACTTAAAGCTTATTCTTTGCTCTGTGCTCCATTTTATTATGTGTCTTCTAAGTTGTCGTATTCTGGTAACTTCGTGCCGTTATTTCCAACTTAGTAAAATTTTGAGAAATTGAAAGTTTTGGCAAAATTTTGTATACCGCTTGAAAGAAGTCTTACCCTATAAAATAGTGTATTTGGTTTGTCCACTGGTGCTGAATTAAAAATGATTGAATATGAAAGATGCAAAAAGTAAAAAACCTAAGCGATGATTAATTTCTTCTACGATGCAAAGAACTTGAAAGTTGCTATTGCTATCTCGTGAGGTAATCTGACATGTTGATTACGAAAATCATAATCACTGTCCATGATAGATCTTACCCCAGGATTACAGCAGTTACAGGAATCAACTAAGCATTTGTCTAAAAAGTGGTCATGGGGTTTCAATGACATGCTCATTATGAAAATCATATCCATATTGCAAGATAAGCCCCTCAAAATACCAATTTAATTGAAGGAAAAGTTTAACAAATTTATAGCTGCAAGGAATGACCCTATAATCCGTAAGATCCTTGTAGTACTTACTCTAATCCTATAAAATTTCTTAGAGAATGGATATAATTGTCGATTTCAGCATAGCCAACTACCCCACAAGTTAGCGATATAGCGACATCCGAGAAGATGTCCGTAAGCTTTTTTACCCTTTAAATATAATTTTATTTCTAACTCAACCAAATTCAAATCATCAACGAGACCAAATAAAGCGCTTTGTAGAGGGCAAAATTTGCTTTCAAAACATATATTATATTTTGCCCAATCCGCTTCTTAACTTTCTTGAATGTGAAAAAAAATGTCAGGAACTTATTCGACAACCCGATAAAAAATGTTAGCTTAACAAAGTTTTTCACTTTCTACACAAGTTACTACCTTTTAAATCTACATGTTCGCCACCATTTTGAATGTGCGGACTGATGTAAAGGTTTATGGTTGAGTCACCTTAACTCAACAAGGCGATTATTTTGTGAAAGAGAGCTCAATTCAAAACTTTTGAGCTAGCTGTATTTATTGTTCAAACTTAGTATCTAACCATTTGAAAGGTACATAATGGAGCAAAGGAAAAGAAAAGTTTATAAAAAAAGCCATTGCGAGCGTTCCCTTTCTATAAATGGGAAGCTTGGATTTTTGACAAAAATAAGGCGATTGCAAAAATAATCCCGTTTTAATTTGTATGCTACTGCCTCGTCATCACATTTCATCAGAACATAGTTCTTTAATGATGCGTGCTTGGGACTGATCAAAGTTTAAGTCCCAAATTCAAGGCACTTCTTGATTTGTGATCGAGTTGTCTGCTTTGTTGTACATTATCAAAAGAAGCAATTATAAATCTATTCCATTCAAGCCGAAATTTTAGAAATTCGAAATTCTTGATAAGCATGATAGTATATAGATCTCTTGTACTTAAATTCAGTGCGCAGCGAAAAGTGAAAGCGTAGTCAAGTGATTAATTTCCTTTACGATAAATTGAGTAATTAAGAATAAAATGAACAAACCGCCAATCATCCAAGTATAGAATTGCAATTCAAATTGTAAAAAAAATACGGCAACAACGATAAGCCATGCAAAATTTTTATGCTCACCCAAAAGAAAAAAATGTCGAGAGTTAAGAATACAAAGCGTAGACGAAATTACTGTAGTACAGCTCAACGATCGCCATCCACACAGAAGCACAATGTAAGTTGAATCTTCATAAATATTAGTTTTGTGAAATTGTGTAACAAGCTCAACAACTCGTGTATAAAATTAGTTATGAAGCGTGAGAAAACAGCGTTAGAATAAGCTCATCCAGAAAATGCAAAAGGAATAAAAGACATAGAAAAATTTGCGCCGAATCTTTCAAATCAGCGTTTCTTATACGAGTTATTCCCTCCCGTATCGCTATTCACGAACTCACTGTCGACAAGAAGACGTCGGTTGCCTATTGCTTGTCCGGCTTCACTTTTTGCTATACAATGATAAAATCCAGCATCCGTTGGTAGAACGTTGCGAACTGCTAGCGAAGTTCCTATCAGCTGGTATTCTAAAGAAAAGACGAGTTTTCTTCAGCCCTTCATGTTTAAAGAAAAGTGCATATTTTTCCACTTTATAGGATCCTGTAGAAATTCGGGACTTTATGCTGTTTGATCTCCCATCAGCTTGTAATTTAACCTTTAAAAATATAATAGCCAGACTGCCTATGCGCAGTGTAATAAACGCGTCCGAAGGTGCTCAAAAGGATGTAAGCGGAATTGGGTCCTTTTTATGACCTAGTTAATGTTTTACAATTCTGCTCTGTTCAATGCTCAACATTGATAGTTCAATTACTCTCGTTCCTTCCACTCGAGATTAACTACATCGACAAGTTAATACAGTTTGGTGTTCCTTTTGGCTATAACGGAAATGACTTGCAGTGAGCAAGAATCTGAACTTGAAAGAAACGAAGTACTCTGATTTCCTTACATGAGCACTTTGGTATTGTTAGGACCTTTTGGAGCTGGATGTGAGTACAAAATGTTATTTACGTCATGCATTGACGCTAAATTGTAAATCTAGATGAATGACGCTTTTTCAGGCAAAAACGCGACACGAGTTCTTTCCTCCAACAACTGTTACTCAATTCGCTCTAGCAGATTTACTGTGATTAAATTCCACTTGCCAACTTTTATGAGAGTTTTGAATTACAATGAAAAAGTGGTGGCACATGTTTGTACTTACTACGTTGAAAAAAGCAACTGTTTTCATTTCAATTACCTTACTCTTCATCGAAACTAGTGATTGCTCACTAAATACAGGCAAACTTTAAAATGCGTCTATACAACGTATGTCACCTTCTATTTTAATTTTTGCAGTCCACATCGATAGACGTACTCGGATTTCTTCCCTTTCCAAATTCGTAAGCTCCCCACAACAACAAAAAATAGTCTCTTCTAACTTCAGATATTTTCAAAAATACAAGTTAATCGGCCGTTTTGGTGACATAACTTTAACGTGCATGACGAAGTCTCAATGGCTAAGGCTTTGCTTTTTTTTAGCAGATTTTATTCCAAGAAAAACTTCTATGTATTGTTCTAGTATTGGGACTGTAGATATGTGTAATTTTCAACTTTGCTGTTCCTGGAATCGCTATAGGACTCTATGCCTTGACTCTTCGCTTTATGTTTGTTCGTTTCTCAGAATGTATAGTTCCAATGAGGATCCGAAATTATAAGCGCTTTAGCGTCGCAGAAAAAAAAA